GGGGTGTCTACTTCCTCAAATTTTAACTCTTTCGCTGTCGAGGCCTTTTTTTATTTTTTTTTTATTTTTTTTGCACAAATGTTATAATCCACATTTTAGGTCTGAAAATTACTTCAAATCCCCAAACATATATTCTCTGAAAGCCAAGATGCTGTAGAATAAAATGGTGGCAGTTGCACATTTTTACGTTGTGTGATATTAGCTCCACTCTTTAGCAAACCCCAAATATTTTGTGAAAAATTTACTTAAGTTAATTTTAGTGACCCAAAACACAACATAATAAAGTTTTCTGGGTAAAATATAAAAGATGAGGTTACGACGAGTAAATAGGTACCCAACATGCCCATGGTAAAAATTGCATGCGTTCGTGAAACGACCCCTAAAAGTCCATACACAACTCTTTAAAAGCCCCTACAGGTATACACGTAAATATTGGCACTAGCATTATTGCTCTCACTCTGGCGTGCGTGGCGATATGCCACATATGTAGTGCGATCGTCAATTTAGTACGTAGGCGCACCTGACGCGTCTTTACGTTAATACGCTTGTGGGGGCAACAGACTTTAAATTTATTAGACTATTATTTTTTTAAACTGTTTAAAAAATATATATACTTTACTTTAATTGCTACCACATAGGGGGACTTACAAGCCCCCCATGTGATGGCATATTGGTGGTGACGGTCCTCTTTAAAGTGATACTGGGGGTCCAAAAGACCCCTAGTGTCACTTTTCCACTCTAAATAAGCTATTAAAGTGCAGATCACACTTCAATAGCTTATTGCCCGGCTTCAGTAGCCGAGCAATGACAACTATGGGACCGGAAGTGATGCAATACATGTAGCTTCCAGTCCCATAGAACTGGAAAGCGATCAATTAACGGAAGTTCGCTGCTCTCCTCCCTAACTTCCCGTTGACATCCGAGATGAAACGCAGGGGGGGAAGGGCGGCCACTTTACCGGCCCATGAAAACGATCTGACGGCCAGAATCGCTTCTATTGTTAAGAAGCCGACATCCAGGTTTACAATTGTTCTGGCGGCAGTCTGTTCAAATGGCCTGATCACACCAACGTAAGCCTTACTTCAGTGGCAGCGAAAGAGTTAAACCATCCTAGACATGTTTGAATCTGAGCAGCTGTGCTGACTGTATGCTCTTTATTCTACTTAGTTTATAATAGCAATGCACCTTTTGAAGTACAGGTGTATATTTTACTATCCCTAACCCAGCCCTCCTTAGGTAAACTGTTCCGCCCTGGCAAATCAAATCTTAACCCTTGAAGTGGGGCTACTTCCGCACTGCAAGGGTTAAGTTATAAAGTTATACTCACCCGAACCATGATCCTGACTGACCCCGTCACTACTCCCTTCAGCCTCTCTCCTCCGCTCCAGCGATGGCATGTCCTTCAGTGTCCTCAGGTCCCATACGCTGTGTGTAGGATGCGATGACTCACCGGACCGTAGTCCACTGGAACAGAGGGGGAGTGAGGCTGGAGGGTCCGGTCTAAGAAGAAGCTGGGATTGTGGTTCGGGTGAGTATAACTTTATTTTAGCTCTCTAGACAAAACGAGCAATTAACCCTTGCAGTGGGGGTAGCCCCACTGCAAGGGTTAAGGTTTGCCCAGAGTTTTGCTTCAAATACTTGGTTGGCAGTTATTACTCCTGAAAAATACTCATTGTACCTCTTTTGAGCCATTTGTATTTACTTTTGGTGGTCTAACTTTAATCTGTCTTTGTACAGGTAGTCATAGAAGAAATAGTAATGGTAATAAATAGGGCATGCTGAGTGCAAATTGTAGCCCAGGATATCATGGTTTTTCCATATATTTTTTTTTATCAGTTTCTAGGGAATCCTTGCTTTTTGTTTATATTTTATTCAGAAGGTAATAAAATACAGAAAACCAAATGTCCAGCTTAAAGCCACTGCAATTCTTCTTTAATTCCTTCTTGCTAACAGTGTTGGACCGAGTCAAGGACTCTGTACTTATTGACTGATAGTGCTGTGAAATTCCCCGGTGCTTTCTACAGTTGCATCTCTGCGCTTTGCAATGATTTCAAGAAAAAAGAATGTCGTCTCCAGACAATCTTATGTAGGAGAAGCCATTAGTTGCATTAGCTGTCGTGTTTTGTGAGCTGGGTAAATAAATCTCCTAGCGTTATATAAGTTGGGGACTTTACAAGTAGAATCCTTTGGCCAGGCTGTTACTTTCCACTCATTGTGACCTGAAAAGAAACACATTATGAACAGAACCTGCCAAGGGGTAAAAGTAGGGCTGCTGCTGATATGAACTAATCAGCAGCAATTTCTGAACTGTTCTAGAAAATACCCACTGGAATCAGTTTGCTGTTTAGCATCATTTTTTTACTTTACCTTGTAGAAACCAGAGAGCATCTGTTCTTTCTTGCAATGTTCTCAGTTCTCTGCTGACAAGACACTCCATCTTTTTTATCCATTTTTGCTAAACTGTGTGAACAGTTAATG